GATGCTTTGAAAGATTGGTAGTAGAGGCAATTGTTACAGGAAGGAAAATAAAGGGAGTAAATGTTGATTTGGGACTTACTATATTTGTTAAGCCCAATCACATCTTTCCTGTCCATTATCTTTCCATTAGTACCATTTTTCTAAGAATCTATGACATTGCCTCGAGCAGGCCCCAGTAACGTCTCCTTCGTCCTAGCCCTGAAATTTTAAAAAGTGCCATATTCAAGGCTCTTTCAGGGTTAGGAGAATGAGACCCATCATTGTTACTGGTACTTGGCATATTGGGTATGCCATGGGGAGTTTGCCAGACTCTGCCGTGTGGGCAGGTTACATTAGGTAGCATGCCAAGTTGTCCAAAGTAAGAATGAGATAATAAGATATCGCACGGCTGCAAATGCAAATGCTTCCAGGAGCTGGGTTTTATAGTCTCTGGGTCTTGGCCGTTGATGGGATTACACGGCGCCAGGGGGCCAGTTGGTGGGTGTGACCCCTGCCTACTGGAAGATGGAGGATCTGGGTGGAGGATGCTCAGCCCCGATCCGAGCAGGCTTGGAAATCTCAACCCAGGGACCCGCATGCCTTTGCTCCTCTGTTGGTACCTTCATGCGTGTGGAGAGTGGTCTCAGCATGGTTGTGGCTGGTTCTGGAGGTATTTGGCTGCCAGAGCTCTGCTCAGGGTGGGGAGGGAAACTCAAGCCGCCCCTCTCCAAGGGGCCCCGGCGAGGACAGCCAGGCACTGGGGCAGGAGACTCTGCACTGTTCTCTTCCAGGAGCTGGGTTTTATATAAAATAATAATAAAAGACAAAATATTTTATTAGGCAAAAGAAATAGCTCAATAAGCTTAGATTTGCATGCAAGGGACTTGGGTTCAATTCCCAGAACTTCATAGTACCCTGAGAACCTGAGAGAAACCCTGAACTCCACTAGGTGTGCATCTCCTATCCCCAAAATATTTTGTTCTTCCATGACATTAGGTAAGGTTCCATAACTGTTGAGATGCTTAAAAATAGGGCATAAATATCACTTTTACCATAGCAAAATTAGTAAATCTAATTATTATTTTCAGAAAATGAGATTTTTTGTCCTTTCAATTTTACATGTGAGATTTTATGGCAAAGAGCATTAACTTTCCAAAATTGCTTTCATGTTAGCCCGAAAGTTTAGAGTGCCCAGAAATTATATATTTAACATTCCCTTTATAGATAATCCAACATTAAAAGGCCACTTTAACATGCTACTGCATGCATTACTTTCTACTTAAGCATAATTATAACATTACATGTTCTTTACATGCAGTTAAGAGCTTCCCCACTGAGTATGTTTTTTTCAAATCATAGCACAAGTTTTACTTATTTCAGCTTTACTGAGAGATAAAAAATAAAGTAATGCAAAAATAAATAAATAAAGCAATGCTTTCACTTTCACTGTCCCAGCTCTAGGTCAAGAATAAACGTCCTTCTTTTATTATTTTTGTTTTTCATTTGTTGAGCTGTGCTCTGTTTGCAATGCAAAATATTTATTGTTAGGATTTGGGATTGTAGAATCCATCTACAAATACATATGTTTTGTTTGTTTGTTTAAAAACTCCCTAAGCTCTTCCTGTTCGTCTCCAACTCTGTGCCAGTCTTCTTCCCCCCGCAGGTCAGTTAATCAAGCAGTATTCGAACCCAGGACTTGACTTTCTCCATGCATGCGCCCAAGGTGTCCTCTAGGACCCTGGGACGCTCAGCATCCCTGAGTCTCTCCCTGTTCGTCCCCAACGCTGTGCGGGGTCTTCTCCCGCCCAGTTAGTAACCCCCCCACCAGGTAGCCGTGAGGGCGTGGCCTCTTCAGAAGTGGGCGTGGCTTCTGTGGAAGTGGGTGTGGCTTCTGTAAAAGTGGGCTTGGGCTAATTTTGGGCTGGTCAATGCTCATGCGGCCACAGCTAGTTTACTCATACCAAGAAATCTTGTGTAACATCTCAGTCCCCATACCTCCACACCAACATGAAGAAACAATGCAAATCCCCACCACGTGGGGAGGATGATGAAAAGAGTCCAGAAGCCTCAGTAGGTGCTACTCACCTAAGGGACCACTCTGAGAAAGAATTCAGATATGAAGTAATAATGAGTTCATTGAACTCAATGAAACAGTGAGATAGATATCCAATAAATTAAAGGATGACATGAGAGAAACAATCGAGAAATTACAGAAAGAAATGAGAGCAGAAATTGGAAAGCTATGCACAGAAATGTCACGAATAAGAGATTCCATAGACGAAATATAAAAACGCAGTCTGTGCCCTCAACTGTAGAATGGCCACAGCTGAAGACAGAATCAGTGGGCTGGAAGATCAACTGCACCAAGCCAACAGGCAACAATAAACAATGACAAGAGACCTCAAAATAGCTCTAGAGTAAATCATAAATGGAATCTCACACAAATAGCAGAACACCTTTTACTAAAATCCCTAACTTATATGGTAGCAATGCCCTTTTATTCAGCAAGTCTAATTGAAACCGTACAGAGTGAGATCATTCGAGATAACATTGGAATTTTAGAGTGTGTCAGAGAAGGTCTTGGGAGAGTGTTGGGCTTGGGAGTGCCTCACAGCAAACGATTACTTCCTCTTCTTTCCTTGATCTTCTCTACCGTGCTGCATGGGGTTCTTCATTACATCATCAGTTCACTCATTCAGAAGTTGGTCCTACTAATTCTAAAGAGAAAAACTTACAGTAGCCACTTAGCTGAGAGCACTAGTCCTGTACAGTGTATGTTGGATGCTTATTTTCCAGAATTTATTGCTAAATTTGCTGCCAGTTTGTGCTCTGACATTATACCTCACTCATTGTAAACAGTCTTGCACCACCTTCACATTCAAGCAACATGCACAATAATTGACAGTACAGACCTTGGCTATGAGGTGCTTCCAATCAACACACAGTATGAGGGCATGAGGGACTGCATCAAAACCATCAGGCAGGAGAAGGGAGTGTTTGGTTTCTATAAAGGTTTTGGTGCTCTCATAATACAGTACACATTGCATGCAGCTGTATTACAGATTACCAAAATTATCTACGCTGGAATTCTTCAAAATAGCATTTGAAATTGAGGCCCCGCATTATTTTAAAAGACATAACCTGGATACCTTATTATGGAGTTATGAGGGATAAAAGTAAAATACTGGCTGAAAGAATGATTAGAAAATGAGGCTAACTTTTAAAGATGCTTACTATATTGATAGGGATTCATATATATTTTGGACAAAATATTCCTAATTTGGAAACACAGTAAAATTTAGACTCAAATTAAATTCTACCCAGTTTAGCATTTATGCTGAGCTAAAAGTAATTCGAGGCAAAGTATTTGTCACCAAGTTTGAAAAACAATGTCATAAAGTTGAATTTATTCCATTCAACTTTCATACAATTTACAATTAGTTGACCTTGTAGTATTATAGTGGCATATCATATCATCTTTAATATAGTTTATGATGTCAGAGGATCAATTTTACCTTCACTTGATCACTTGACTTCATGTAACTCATCTATTTGCTTGAGCAGGCGCCTGTAACATCTCCATTCATCCCTGTCACATGCTAGTGTAAACCAATGTCATCCGTTCTAAGAACAGGAAGAGCCTCAAACCGATCATTCAGGGTATTGATGAAGAAGTCTGACCATCTTGTAGGTGGGCGGCCACGCGGTCTTTTGACATCCTGTGGAATCCAGTTTGTAACATCTCTAGTCCAGCAGTCGTCTCCAAATCTCAAAATGTGACCAGCCCATCTGATTTTCGACCCCTTGGCAAATGAGACAGCATCCCTGATTGTTGACCATCAATGGAGGTCAGAACTCCGGATTCTTTCTCTCATTTGAGTGAAACATGATACTCCAAGCATAGCTCTTTCAATTCTTCTTTGGGAGACCCGAATAGTGTTCTCATCCTGTTTTCGTAGGGTGCATGTCTCTGAGGCATATGTTAATGCAGGAAGAGCAGTGGAATCGAAGCGATGTGCCTGGAGCTGGAGGTTATTCATCCTCTTAGCTATTGAAGGTGTTCCAAGCCGCTCTCTTCCCCCTCCGCAACTCAGGTGCCAGGTCATTGGTCATGTTGACTTCTCGACCTAGGTACACATAACTGTTGCATTCGGAGATGGTCGTTCCATTGAGAGCGAATGGAACATCAGAAACGAGACTATTTCTTTTAAACATTGTCTTCGTGAGATTAAGCTGGAGTCCGACCTTTCCACACTCATGGTCGAAGTCGGCCAGCATTTGTGCCACTTGGCTAACGTTTGGTGTTATTAGAACGATGTCATCAGCAAAGTGGAGGTGGGGTAGTTGCCAACCGTCTATCTTCACTGCCATTCCTTCCCATTCCAGTAGTCGCATGACGTTCTCGAGGGTGGCACTGAAGAATTTCAGTGAAATGGTATCACCCTGCCGAACCCCTCTTTTGACATCGATGATCACTTCTTTGTAGAATGGTGAGATGCTGGTAGTGAATCTGTAATACAGCTCATGGAGGATCCTGATGTATTGAGTTTGAATGCCCTGATTGGCTAGGGCTTGGATGACTGCTTCCGTCTCAACCGAATCAAAGGTCTTCTTTAAATCAATGAACGTTAGACAGAGTGGCATCTTGAACTCCCGAGAAACCTCAATGAGCTTGGTCACCGTGTGGATATGTTCAATCATGCAAAATCCTTTGCGGAACCTGGTGTGCTCGCATGGTTGTACTTCATCTAGTTTTCTGCCAATCCTATTCAGGATGATTCAAGTGAACAGCTTGTAGATGACAGACACTAGGCACATCGGTCGATAGTTGCCAATGTCGTGGATTTCTCCCTTCTTGTACAGTAGTACAGTACTGCTGGTTTGCCATTGGGATGGAACCTTGCATTCAGACAGGTAGCGTGTGAAGATCCGAGTCAGTGTATTGATGAGTACAGATGGCAGGTTCTTCAGGTGTTCAGGTCTGACCCTGTCTGGGCCAGGTGCTGTTAATACAATTTTACCTTAGATACATAAATACGTCGTCTGTGATAAAGACTAGAAGTATTAGACTTGGTCATCTTTAAGCCAGAATTAAAGAGTTAAATTCCATTGTCCTGTAGAACTTTTCGTGTGTACATTTATTAAGTCTCCACATCATGGACTTCAACTCTACATATTTGTACTCTTAAATAGGTTTATTAAATCACTTATCACTTAATCACTTAACTTCCCGTTAAGTCGATTTGCTCGAGCGGGCACCAGTAACGTCTCCATTTGTACCTGTCATGTGCTAGTGTAGCCCAATGGCGTCTGTTCACTCTAGGAACATGAAGAACCTCAAACCGATTGTTCATGATCTTGATGAAGAAGTCTGACCATCTGGTAGGTGGGCAGCCACGCGGTTTTTTGACATCCCGTGGAATCCAGTCGGTAACAGCTCTAGTCCAGCAGTCATCTTTAAATCTCATTACGTGACCAGCCCATCCGATTTTTGACACCTTGGCAAACGAGACAGCTTCCCTGATTGTTGACCGTCGATGGAGGTTGGAACTCCGGATTCTTTCTCTCATTTGAGTGAAACGAGATACTCCAAGCATAGCTCTTTCAATTCCTCTTTGGGAGACCCGAATAGCGTTCTCATCCTGTTTGCGTAGGGCCCAGGTCTCTGAGGCATATGTTAATGCAGGAAGAACAGTGGAATCAAAGAGATGTGCCCGGAGCCAGAGGTTCTTCGTCCTCTTAGCTATTTCTTCGACGCTCTTGAAGGAGTTTCAAGCCGCTCTCTTCCTCCTGTGCAGCTCAGGTGCCAGGTCATTTGTCATGTTGACTTCTCGACCTAGGTACACATAGCTGTTGCATTCAGAGATGGTCGTTCCATTGAGAGCGAATGGGGCATCCGGAACAAGGCTGTTTCTCATAAACATTGTCTTCGTAAGATTCAGCTGTAGTCCGACCTTTCCACATTCACGGTCGAAGTCGGCCAGCATTTGTGCTGCTTGGCTGATGTTTGGTGTTATTAAAACAATGTCATCAGCAAAGCGGAGGCGGTGTAGTTGCTGACCATCTATCTTCACTCCCATTTTTTCCCATTCCAGTCATCGCATGATGTTCTCGAGGGTGGCACTGAAGAGTTTCAGTGAAATGGGACACTACCTCCACTACCCAGCCACTGCCACACTCCAGGACGCTTTCCGGACCCACTTGGCAGTTCTGGCTGAGACTCACGCACGACTGAAGACTCACAGAACAAGATAAGCGGAACTCTCTGAGACGCGGCCACACGACACATCATAAGACACTAAATACCCATCTTCCGGAATTGCCGTACCATATTTGATAGGGTTCAAATATGGTATCACATACGAGGACGATTAGAGGTCGCCCCCAAAGCCTCTATCCCTCTCGGAAAGACTGGCAAGCTACCGAGAATATTCCGCCAGCACGGCAGAGCCTGGCAAGCTATCCGTTATGTATTCAATATGCCAAAACCAGTAATTATAATGGCTCTCATTCACCTGACCCTGAAGGCTTCACCAACATGGCAGCACTGAGAACGATGAGGTTTATTACATAGACTGAAATTTTGCCTAAATATCAGAGTAAAACATTAAAAGTGAAAGTCCCCAAATACCTAAAAGTCAACACCATTTTTTTGTCCATAATCAAATTCAGCATCTTAATGCCAGGAACTTCAAATTGATCATACTTTTATAAAGTTTGATTTACCTGCCAAGTTACAAGAATCATCAGACTGTTTTTAGAGATACTCTTAAGAGACTACAATCATGATAACATTATTGTTACCAGAGTTACAGTGCATGTGCTAAAAGAAATGTCACTTGCCTCTCTTTATGAATTATTTGTCTTAAGAGAGGCAATTAAAATCCATCTGGAAATTTGTACTTAAAAAACAAGAAAACTACAAAATGGTACTTCAGGAAAAAAAGAGGACACGAGAAAATGGAAAGATATCTCCTGCTCATGGATCGGGAGAATTAACATTGTCAAAATGGGGATACTTCCCAAAGCATTGTACAAATTCATTGTGATCCCTATAACAATACCCATGACATTCTTCAGAGAAATGGAGCAAACACTCATGAAATTTATATGGAAAAATAAGCCCCCATGAATATCTAAAGCAATTCTTGGGAAAAAGAAAATGGGAGGAATCAACCTCCCTAACTTCAAACTCTATTACAAATCAGTAATATTTAAAACAGCATAGTACTGGAAAAAAAGCAGAGCTGCAGACCAATGGAACAGGGTTGAATATACTGACATCTCTCCCCAAACATATCATCATCTAATCTTTGCTAAGGGAGCAATAAATGTGAAGTGGAGCAAGGAAAGTCTCTTTAATAAATTGTACTGCAAAAACTGGACAGCTACATGCAAAAAAATGGACTCAGATCTCTGACTAACACCATGTACAAAAGTAAGATCAAAATGGATTAATGCCTCTTTTGCAAACCACAGAACCCAAAAGGAGAGAGATAACAAAAGGGAACTCCCTGCCACAGACGCAGGGTGGGATGTGGGGCTTGGGGGTGGGTGGGAGGAATACTGGGATCAGTGGTGGTGAAGAATGGGCACTGGTGGAGGGACAGGTACTTGATCATTGTATAACTGAAACCCAAAGCACAAAAATGTGTAAGTCTACAACTGTACCTCATGGTGTTTCACTAATAAAAAGTAATAAATAAATAAATAAATAAAAACTTTCCAAGAATAAACTTTAGATATTGTGTAAGAATGCTTGATTTGGAGAGGCCAGTTGCATTTTATTAGGTACTTGTAGGAGTGATAAATGAGCAATGTGGGATTCTAAAATACTCATGTGACCCTTGACCTTATTTTAAATATGAGTAATTTTTAAAGATATGAGCATTTAAGGCACAAGTTTCTAATTGTAAAATAAGTTCATTAGGAATATAATTTGTCATAAGAACAAACTATCAACTATAAATTAAATCATTTTAGGTTCTTTAGTCTCAGGTTCTGAAATGCATTTTGCTATTATTTCAAGGTATAATCAATAAAATATAATTTTTTGCCAAGTCCATGGAGTTTAAGTTCAACAAAAAATAGCAATAAGAATATCTTTACTTTGACACTCTTCTTTCTTACAAATTCTTCTAATTTTAGCCTGTTTCATTGGAGTAAGGAACCACTACACCTAACAATTATTTACCTTTGGAATGCAGCACTTAAACCAGTTAGGAAAAGATACATTAACAAGTTAGTATTCTTTTTCTCTTTTGACATGCATTCTATTAGCATTTCAACATGTCATCAATATAAGCAAATCACAATTTAGGTAGACTTCATGTTCTGTTTCTTCTGAGATCAGGGGGTGGGTGGGAGAATGTGTGCATTAAACAATTAGATCACATCACTTTTCAGAGGACCTAAATGCTTAGTGTCCTTTAACCAAGTATGGCAAGAGAGTACCTTACTGAAGAGTGCAACTCTACTTGGAAAAACATAGAGAACTAAAACCACCCAGGATGATATGCAACATAAAGAAAATGTACGTGATAGGTTAAGAGGGAACAGCAGCAGGGTAAACTATTGAAATAGTTAACGATGATTAAAAAAGCCTATCCAAAAAAGTAAGATTTAAGTAATGAGCTGAGGGCTGAGCAGCTATCCAAGAAATGGAGATCAGCATGGATTGAGTGGAACATGTAAGGGAATCCATGGAAAATAAAACTTGGGGCATGAGGGGGTAGCAAAGAACTTTCTTAAAATTCCAAAGAGAGTGGAGAAATTGACAAATCAGCAAAGTCTAAATGCCATGTTAAATGAGACCAGGGAATTTATTTTTCTTAGTGCCTGGGACACTACCTAGCTCATAACAAGTACTTAGGGAAGAGCAGATATGTGCAAAATAAAAAATAACAAGGTAGATGGCAACAAGTTGATAAAGATGCCAGTGGGCCAGGGAAAGTTTGTTTTCTTTCATTTGCCACTGATTTCTCATCAAGCAACATGGGGCAATTTTAAGTACAAGATGTTTGAAAGATTAAAGAGAGGGGATAATGATGGCTTCAATAACTAGAGCACCTGGAATTTTGATTGATCTGGCTTGTATCAATTGCTGAGTAGTGTATAAAGGTAGCAATCAATGTGAGCAGAGAAATCATATACCATGATTGGGCCAATTTATTCTAAGTGCCAAACACTGTGGTTGGTAACAACAAGCTGCAGCTAGCAAGCAACATGCAAGACATCCAAGAACCATTCACTTTTCTCTATTACCTTTCAAAAGATTACCCTTTAAAATGGAGGTCAACACCCAAAATGAGAGACAGAACAAAAGGGAATGCCCTGCCACAGAGGCAGGGTGGGATGGGAGGGGGATGGAAGGTGGGAGGGATACTGGGATCAGTGGTGGTGGAGAATGGGCACTGGTGGAGGGATGGGTACTTAATCATTGTATAACTGAAACCCAAGCACAAAAATGTGTAAATCTACAACTGTACCTCATGGTGTTTCATTAATAAAAATTAAAAAAAATTTCTACACGAAAATTTTTTTAAAAACCATGGAATATAATAGATCATCATGGAATATAATAGATTGTTATAGATCAACGGTGAAATTAAATTTGATGTTTGCTGAATTGGTAGATCATAACAGAATATTCTTGCATAAGGGGAATTTAAATAAATTCAGTAAAGTACTTATTACAAAAATGACCGGGGAATTTGTTTATAAATTACTTTCAAATTACTATGAATCTTTTCTTTGTTATTTTACCTAGTACATGTTTTCTATCCTTTTTCTATAGTCAGAGTAATATGGAACTCTAAACATGGCCATCAAAATATAAATTTTGTGGGGGTATGGTGCCGCCAGCAGTTCAATCTGTGCCTGTGAGGCGAGTGCATCAGCAGCCTGATGGCACCGTCAGACTTTCAGATACCCCAAAATTGCTGCTGTGCCCACTGGCATCTTTATCAACTTGTTGCCATCTACCTTGTTATTTTTTATTTTGCACATATCTGCTCTTCTCTAAGTACTTGTTATGAGCTAGGTAGTGTCCCAGGCACTAAGAAAAATAAGAGTTAAGTAGAAAGAGTTAAGTTAAGTGCCTTTGGCCAGACCCCAAAAACTTGGGGCAACGTTTACCAAGAAAGTAAACGACCAAAAGTTAGGTATGTGGGAGACACACCCACAAACCACTTCCCGCTCAGCTATATAATTGGAAGCATGGCCTCTCTAGTTCCTGATCGAACTGCTTAATGGCCATGATCACAGAGACTCAGAAATGAATCTTGGAACCCAAATGCTTTTGGCAGAAATGCGTCCTGTTCCTGCAGTAGGTTACTGGCGCTGGGCCATTCCAGGTAGGAATAAGTTTCATGCCTTGACCTGTTTCCCCTGGAGGCTCAGTGACCACCATCTTCCAAAGGCCACTGGACAGTCAGGTTTAGGCCTGCGGTGATGAGACACACGGGGCCTCACCAGATGGGGGTGGAACCGGCCCTTTCCTCCCTATCCCAGCAAGACCCTGAGTTGCTGCCTACAAACGGCCTTTCTGGCTCCTGATCAAGCTGATTAACGGCCATGATGCCAGAGACTCAGAAACAAATCTCGAAACCCAACGGCTTCTGGCAGAAATGCATCTGGACTGCATACAAGGTGGTCGCCGCCTCAGAGCTTATAGGAAAGCCAGGTATGAACCGGGGGTGACGGGGCAACTGCAGTCTCATGGGAAGGGGGGCAGTACCGGCTCATCCTTCACGCTCTACCGAGGTCACGAGTTGGCCCCCCACGAGCGGCTCTTTGTCAAGGCCATGGCTCCAGAGGCAAAAGGACTTAATCCAGAGACTGGCAGGTTGCGCAGAAAAGTGAATGGACCGTGTGTTAAACTACGGCGCCATGCCTCCCCAGGAGGGAAAGGGTGTTGCTCCCTTCGGCCTTTTCCCCCTGGTAGCAAGCTGGCCGCCGCTTCAGAGCTTATTGGAAAGCCAGGTATGAGCCAGTGGTGATGGGGCAACTGCACTCTCATGGGAAGGGGGCAGTACCGGCTTGTCCTTCATGCCCTACTGAGGTCACAAGTTGCCCCCATGAGTGGAGGCAGAAACCAATCTCATAATTATCTGGCTCTTTGCAAAAATCCAAAATCATTATATGATTCTCATAAGCAGCTATAGAAAACAAAGTTTTTCACAATGCCTTTTCAGCAATTCTGATTGTTGAGAGGGAAATTCTAAATATAATGGTGCATCTTTTGTCGAAATAATGAATGTAATCAATGTAGAGAAGAGTTAAGTAGAAATCATCTGCCTCACAGGCATTGGGAGGGGTGGGAGGAGGGTATATTGGGGTTCTTGGTGGTGAAAAATGAGTACTGGTGAAGGGAAAGGTGTTTGATCATTGTATGACTGAGACTTAAACCTGAAAGCTTTGTAACTTTTCCCACAGTGATTCAATAAATATAAGAAGAAAAATAAATAAATAATTATAAAAAAAAGTAAGGTGGAGTTCATGCCCAATTCAATCAGCTAATCAGTGGTTGAATAAATAGCAGTACACCAACATAATATATATATATATATATAAATTTTGCTATCTAAGCAATACTATTAAAATTTGGAAAATATTTAATATAATTTTACAGATTAGATTAATAAAACTTGACAAGGACCACTGCAGAACAGAGGTAATGTTATGTTAAATATATGTCTTTTCCCTTGTCTTTAGCATATAGAAGCATATCATTTGCCCATCTGCCTATGACTCTCTCACTTTTATTTGAATCTTTTTAGACACTGTGATTTGCATAGCTGTTTATCCACTGAGAAATTTTAAACAGAATCATGGGTACTCCAAATATATTCCATTTGTCTGAAAATTTTATACCTATGTTGAGTATTATGACTAATATGAA